GGGCTTAACAGTTAACAGAGGCTGTCAATTCTTCAAACTATGCCCGTTATTTTCAGACTGAGCGTTAGATGTCCACAGTGTACTCGACGACCTAATGAACTATATTGACGTTCACAACAATACATATCTCTTTTGATATAACCAGAGGAACGGTTGACATTTTCTGAGCCTGGGGCGATTAATCGGACACTGTGATATCTTCACACGTCCTCAGTCAGGTTTTAGCAAGTGTCATTATTTGTATTTATGCAAAGGCAGCTTGTTTTGTTCCGGAAAGAGAGGTTGGAAAGCCGGAGCTAATTTTGTAGTTTGGGGGAATTTTTAAAATTAAAAATTAGTAAGATGACTTGTTTAAGCATTGGTTTTCAGCTTGTATTAATTAAATTGTATCCATTTTACTATTACCTTTGGTCCCAGAATCAGGAAACTCTACTAAAACTGTACGAATATGTAAGTGTATAACATTTAAATATGTTTTCGACAGATCAAATTTATTTTTTCAACGCTATTTCTTATTTCTTATAATCCTTGATTTAACCTTTTCCTGTCTCTCTTTTTTTCAGAGGTGTTTATTTGGTTGTTTTTTGGGTTTTTTTGTTTTTACTCAATTGTAACAGTCTCTATTTTTCTGCTAGCACCAACGTTGCATCTCTCTTGGCCTGGTTTGGCCTCTTCCTGTCTCTTTTTTTCAGAGATGTTTATTTTGTTTTTTTTTGCTGTTTCTTTTCGAGGGGCTCTTCTGATTTAAAAACCGATGTCATTTCCTGAAACGCTGTCCTTTATTTTAACCTTCTGGGCTAGACGTCCAGTATGGACTGGGCGGCCTAATGAACTAGAGTTGACGTTGGGCAACAGTGCTAGTTTGTGCACTTAAAAAGTGCGCGGGAGCGAGGCGAAGAGTCGATTTTGTGTCAAATGAATGCCATTTTTCTCCTAAATAGTATAGATACATAAAAGGGAATTTACATAATTTGTGTTCAGTTTTCTTTTCTGTTTCGAAATGCAGATCTATTAGATCTAGATCTACTATTTATTATTATTCTTTTCTTTTTTTCCCACCGAGTGCAACTAATGAAGAATCTAGTGAGAAAACGACAACAAGGTCCAAGAGTGGATCATCGTGCTCAGTGCGTTCAAAGATCGTGCATAACATCAGATAGTTCACTCCTCTCTTTGAGGCAATTAAAGAAGTGTCCTCAAAATCCGGTGGCGCGCTCTTTGAAAAAGTGCAGACTTTGCTAACAGAGTTACCCTACTTGTTGTTAAAAAAAAAAGAAGCGAATCTAACCAATTGTGCTAGTCCCAGGGATAACTCTATTCTATTCTTCTTCTGGAGAAACGAAAGAGAGCTTCAAAAACTGCAGCGCCATCTGAATCAATGTGCAGACATCCGTGGACACCTTTTTGGCTGAATGAACTATCTTGTTTTGTATGATCCTTGTCATGTTTGGTCAGGAAGATTTCTGGAGCCTTGCGTTATTCCAAGGAAAACCCGTCCACCAGGAGAAAGGGAAATGACCCAATTTCTTTTACCACGCAAGAGGGGAGGTAACCCTCTATATTTTACAAGTAGGCGAAATGACAAAGAGACAGTAAAACTGTTTATTGAAAACAAACGAATAACTCATTGAAC